GTTCAATCTCCTTCTCCTGGAAGCATTCTTTCAATTTCTCCGACATTAAGTCTTCGTACTACACTAGACCAGTCCTCATGGCGGCGGTGAATGCGGTTGTTTTCGGCGATGAGGATATTGCTCCTGGTGCCGAACGCAATGATCTCTCCTTGTTAGGGAAAGTCATTGGTCCGTCTCCCCCTCTTCGACACCTTTAGTCTACTTTGGAGCGCCTTTGGAACTGCTTTGGGGCAATTTCTATGCTCTCGACGGACGAAGGGCTGCTGCAATTTGTTTTCCCAAACGAGGATGACATGAATCGGGTTCAAGGAATGGCGCCTTGGATTCTCCCAAAGTACATGGTCAATTTGGCTCCCTGGGTGCCAGTTACGTCGAACATTGCGGAACAAATGTGGCGGGTTCCGCTCCATCTCCAATTTTGGGGAGTTCCACCGACTGCTGCTCGACGAAGATGGGCACGTTACTAGGAGCAGCCTTGGGAAAAATTGACCCGGCTTCAGTCCACCGTGATTCTGAGACTGCAGAGATCTACTTAAGGTCCAAGGTTTGGATTGATTCTCGTCTTCCTCTTCCAGTTTCCGTTCCTGCTGCTCATGACAAACTCAGGAAAGGCGACTTTACTGCTGTTGTGAAATATGAGAAATTGTCTCAATTCTGCTATTTGTGTGGTACCCTGGGGCATATTGGGCATCAATGCCTTCATAAGGAAGAGCTTGCTGGTGTTGTCTCGCCATACAGCCGTCACCTGGGTGAGACAAAGGAATGCGGAGTCCTCGTCTCAGCATCCTAAGGGGACTCTCAGACTGCTTCCTGGGCCGAGGGAGTCGCAACCCTCTTCTCTCCATCCTCTACTTGGAAACAAAGAAGGCTCTTCTGCCTCGATGATGCTTGCTAGAGACAGGGCTGAAACGATGGACATGATTCCTGTCTCCCCAAAACTCAAGAAGCCAAGGCTGCTCGAGACTTCTTCCTCGGCTGATCAACAAGTTCACAATGTGGTGGTGGCAACCAGCCCTGACTGGTCCCACGTCACCAAATGAGCATTCTTGCCTGGAATTGTCGGGGTTTAGGCTCCCCCCTGACGATTCCATCATTGTTTGGAACAAAATGTCGATTCTCGCCTTGTCTTATTTGTCTTTGTGAAACCAAGCGGGATGATGATTATGTAAATAAAAAGCTATGTCGCCTAGGATATGTAGTAGTCCGGTGTATTTCCCCTGTTGGGATAGCGGGAGGTCTTGTTGTTGCTTCCTCGCCTAATGTTTTTTGTAGTGTTTTAGGAGAAGCTGAATTCTTCATGTATGTCGAATGTCAGCATGTTGTCTGGGGTCTTGTTGCTGTCTTCTTTGTTCATCTCAGTTCAGATGTAAATACTCGTGTTTCTCAGTTTAATGAACTTCTACATTTGATCTTGTCGTGCTCTCTTCCCATCATTGTGCTTGGAGACTTCAATTGCTTACTATTTGCTTCTGAAAAACAGGGTGACCGACCCCCTTCCTTCCTTTCTTTGGATCAATTCAGAACTTTCATTGACAGTGCAGGGCTGCTGGACTTGGGATACAAAGGATCTCCATTTACATGGTCGAACCGACAAGGCTTGTCTTCACATATCCTTGAACGGCTTGATCGTGGTTTAGCCACTGATTTACGTGTAGCTGTTTGGCCTAATGTGCAGGTTTCACACCTCTCGGATCACAGGATGATTTTGGTTCAACTAGTTCTTGGTGCAGGTAAGGGTAAACCACAATTTCAATTTGACAAAAGATGGTGCATGAATGCAGATGCTAAAGAGATTGTACTTAAAGAATGGCAAGTTGTTTTCCCCGGCACTCCACAATTTCAATTGTTCTATACTTTAAAGGCTGCTAGACATCAATTTGTCGCCTGGGCTCGGCAGGGTACAACGAATTCAGCAAGGCAAATCAGGGAACTCCGTATGGCGATTGAGGCGGAAAGGGACCGCTTACCTGTGGACTGGAGAGTCATTCACGGTTTAGAGGAACAACTCGCCACTGCTTACCATCAAGAGGAAGTGTTTTGGAAACAAAAATCAAGAACATGATGGTTACAGGAAGGTGATGCTAACACCAACTATTTTCATGTAACCACTGCTCGCAGACGGAGACAGAATACAATTGATGTACTTAAAGATGAGGCTGGGAAAGCTCATTTTGAGGAAGATGCCAAAGGTTTGGTTTCTGTTAGTTACTTTCAGAACTTGTTTTCCTCTAATGGCAACCCATTCAAGTTCTTAGTGACAGCACTTGGATTGCCTCGGAAGGTGAGTTTCGAGCAAAATGCTTTCCTCTCAGCGCCAGTTTTCCGAGAGGAGATAAAGCAAGCAGCCTTCAGTATAGGCCCAACCCAGGCCCCCGGGCACGGATGGGTTTACTGCTGCATTTTATCAGGCTTATTGGGACATAATTGGTAACTCTGTTTGTGTGGCAGCTTTATCCTTCTTTCGCTCAGGTCGTCTATTACATAATTTCAATCATACCTTGATAACATTGATTCCTAAAGTTCATAATGCAGAATTCATGAAGCAGATGCGCCTAATAGGGCTGTCTCAGGTCTTCTACAAGATCATAGCAAAGGTACTATCCTCTCGATTGAGCCAAGTCCTTCCTTCGGTGGTTAGTGATGCACAGAATGGGTTTGTCAAGGGTCGGGATATCTCGGACAATATTCGCATTGCTCAAGAGGTAATGCAATTTTTAAAGACGAAATCTCAAGGGCGTGATAAATGGATGGCCTTGAAGCTGGACATGGAGAAAGCGTACGATCAAGTGGAATGAGGATTTCTTTTTGGTGTTATGGATGCGTTGGGTTTTGGTTCTGATTGGCTTAAGCTGATTAAGGCTTGTGTGACGACTGTCACCTTCTCTGTTAACTTGAATGGGACCTCCCATGGATATTTCCATCCGAAAAGGGGTATCCGACAAGGTGACCCTCTATCCCCACTACTCTTTGCTCTTTATACTGAAGATTTTATAACTATGATTGCTAATGCACTACAAACCCAACTTTTACATGGTTTGAAAGTTCATCGTCAGCCCCGGTAACTTCTCATCTACTGTTTGCTGATGATACTTATCTGTTTTTAAGGGCTTCTACCACTGAATGTACTCAACTTCTGCATTTACTTAACCTTTATGAGGGTGCCAGTGGTCAGAAAATTAATCTGCAGAAATCCAAGGTATGTTTCAGTGCTAATGTGACGGAACAAGAAGCTCGATGGCTGCCCTTTTGGGAGTGGACTCTGCTGGGGAGTTAGATAAATACCTCGGCCTCCCTACTCAAATTCAACGTTCTAAGGTCCAGACTTTTCGTTTCTTGGAAGATGCTCTGGCTAACAGAATTCAGAGCTGTAAGTCTAAGGCTCTTTCTTTGGCTGGAAAAGAAGTGGTGATTAAAGCAGTGGAATCGGCCACACCAGTGTATGCAATGTTCTCATTTCGATTGCCGTCAACAACCTGCCATCGTATATAAATCTCTCTTAATTCATATATAAATCTCTCTTAACAATTTAAATTGTTGAAACCAATTGATTTATAACATTATATTAAAGCTGGTTTGTCATTAATATACCTATTCAATCAAGCGCCTGGTAATAAGTAAACATTTGCCCATAAATCATAATGGGCTCTTTATCTTGACTTGTGGAGTTGCGGCAATCATTAATTACATGGGGAAGAAAAGAATCGAACCATTTTGTCTCTCCCACTTACGCCCCTGAAAACCACAGAAGAGAAATATATAAACAAGGATTTCAGGTCCCTTCTTCTACTATGGCACAGACACACATGTGCCCTACAAAAACAACCACACATGAGACAACCATCCATGGATCCTCTTTTTTCTTTGTTGAACAAGTTTCTCAGTCAAATGCCACACGTGCAACCATGTTCATTAGATCTCTCTCTCTCTCTCTCCACAGTCTCCTCACTCACACGTACAGTAGTACACTGGCTCTTCCTCAAAATACACTCAACCTTAATTCTCTTTTCTTAGTCAATTAATTGTGAGCCACTCAACCCATAATCCTAATTCATAATTACATATCGTGCAAATATGTGATATTCTATAATTATTTATATATGCATCAACTTGGTTTTGTTTTCTTCTTCTAAGTGAGATCGATATCAAGTATAGTGTCAAAGAAAAATCGTGTTAATTCCTAGGCAATCCACCCAACCTCTTTCTTGGACTTATTCCTAAAATTATAGTCTCGTTATGAAACATAAAGAGTGAAAGTAATAACCACCTCCAAAAATTAAATCAGCCTTTGGTGTGAGACCCACCCACAAAATTCAATAAATATTTTTGGATCCAATATTTAATCAAATCTTTCCCTGAACTAGCGAGATGTGAAAATGATCATATTAATCACAGGTTAAATTCGAAATATAAAATAAATTACCCTTGTCCAAAAGAATGCAAAGCAAAACAACTTGTAAATTTGAAAGAAATAAGATATAGCGTCTATAAACTAGAAGAATTTAACCAACCGATAGGTCTGTCGTTCAACCATACAAAAATTGCAACGAATGTATAGCTGGCCAATCTAAAATATTTTGACCCCTGAGAACCTAATTGGAAATTAATTTTTCTTCGTTTGATTGTGCCACCGAAATTTGAACTCAAAGATCCTGATTTGAACATGCTTAATGCACAACCATTCCTTCCCGTATTGAGGCGCTCATCAACTCAACACCGTACCGTTTGTAGATACTCAAAATTGCACACAAATGAAGCCGATTTTCTTAACACATATAAAGAGCGCCAATTAATTAAGCTTAATCCTCCAGTTCATCAGGGAAAAACAATTATGTATACATATTATTTTGTATCAATTAGAGGCTCCGAATCTCTATAAAATGATTATAACAATAGATAATAATAATGATGTTCACACACATCTTAAATAAATAATGATCATCGATCTCTTTGCTTTTCTCTCATATGATCGACATGTATATCCTCAATCAAAACTAATTTCCCGAACTGGACATCCCAAAAAAAGTAGTTCATCAGCAGAAACGATTTTAATCATGATCGTAATGGTGATTAATTAGCAGCACCAAAAACTCAGATCAGAACAAAAGCAGATCCAAGAAGCTTCTCCTTAAATTAATAATAATTAGAAACAAAAATTAATCAAAGTACGGCACGCCGTTGTGATCCCCGGCTCTAATCGAGCTATAACCTGTCGCGCTATTCGTCGCCGGCGCGTATAGAGAAGAAGCGGAAGACGACGAGGACGACGATATAACAATCGACGGCGGAGGCGGCGGCGTCGGCTGTGGACCAGCAGCAGCAGAAGCGTTATGGCAGCTGTTTGGAGTAGGAGTCGCCGGCGCCTGCGGCGGATGTTGTTGGTGCTGCTGAATCTGCAGCTGCGGCGCCGGTTGCGAGGCGGCGACAGGCGTGTTTGGCGCGGAGATAACGGAGACGACGCCGGATGAAATTAAAGCCGCGTGATTGGGAGAGAGAAGATTGGTCGTTGCTTCTCTGTATTTGTACTTGAGTATCTCGGCCCTAACGGCGTTAAGCTCCAGCTGGAGGGACTGGATCTGCTGCTGCAGCGCCGAGATTGCTCCCATGCACCCGTACACCGGATCCCTCAGCCTCAGGTTCGCTTCGTAGACCAAGCTATTCGCCGCATCTGCCCTCTGGCTCTCTGGCACCTCCTGTGTAGTACGTAGTACACTAGTTGGATCAACTGAAGATCTGAATGTTGCGTATATATTTTTCTAGGTGAAAAATATATAAAAAAAAGTATGATTACTTACGAGGAGCATCTTGGAGACGTTGCTAGCACCGAAGACCTTATGGACCGCGGCGAACTTGTGGGGCTCGTGAGGGGAGAAGTAAGGGGAGAAGGGGCATTCCTCCGCGCATCTTCGACGGAGTAGCTTGCAGGCGGCGCAGGGAGTGACGGTGTTCAAGCTTCCGGGAGGAGAAACCATGTTCATCATCGCAGCAGCTACTACCCTCCTCCCCATTAACGAGGCATGATGGTGATCGATCTCTCGCTTGATCTTTTTCTCTATCTCATCCAGGTTTTGATAATCCCTGCTAATTAAACTCGATAAATATCTGGTTTGTAAATAAAACAGAAAGATGGAAAATAAAGAGAGGAAGAGAGCGTAGTTGATGGATGATTAATCACCTCTCTCTGGACATTCAGGCATGCTATAGTAGGTAGATGGAGGGGAGGGTGAAGGTTTTTGGGATTTTGGGAGAGAGAGAGAGAGAATGGAGGAGAGGGATTATTGAAGGAAGAGGGGACTAAAGAAGGGTGAAAGAATGGAGAAAGGGGTTCTTAAAAGGCAAGGCAATGGGAGAAAAGAGAGACAAAATTGAAGGGACAAACTTACAAGCAAAAGGGAAGATCAAGCAAAGAAGAAGAAGAAGAAGAACTGAAGAAGCCAAAAGGGAGGGATGCTGATTGGTTTTATGCTAATAAGAAAAGACAAGATAAGAGATTGGAAAGCTATATGTTTAGCAATTAAAAAAATGAGAAATGGAATATTGTTGTGATAATTATTGTGAATTTTCCTGGTGAGCCAATAGGGTTTAAGTAAGGGTGCAGTTGTGGACTTGTGGTTAATTTGCTAATAAAATTGGAAAGAAAGAATGCCAGCTTTGACAAGGCGTTTTCATGCTCACGTGTGACGCTTTTTTGTTTTTTGGGTTCTGTTGGGGGGCATTATTGACTTTGAAAAGTGAAAACTGCTGCAATTTCCATTTTCTTTGCAAACCATTGACGAATTAGGGGAGAGAACCATGATTTAAGAGTAATTAAGAAAATTATCTTAACTGATAATATTTTTTTGAGGTGACATAAAAGAGTTCTAATAAGAATTTCGAAATTAAACATGCTCATTGTGAAGTATTGCAAATATGATTGACCTTATGAAAGGCCACCTTGATATGTAATCAAGACAAAAATCGTGAGGTTTTAGACTCAAAACAGATAATATTTTATTGGGAAAAATTCGAAATGTTACATTATTTTTCTTTTTTTCCCCATTGAAATGGCTTCATCGATCAGTTTCTCCCCCCTTCCCTTCCATATACATCTTTCTTCAGAGGGTTCTTTCCTTAAAGAAACTATCCGCTCGAGAATCCTGATCCATATCGTCATCCTCTGTTGGAATGACTAAAAGACGAGAAATGAAAGCACTTTCAGAAATAGAATATCCTTACCACCAAATGTATCTATGCAAACCTATTGGGATTTCATTGAATGGACATTTTGCTCGAGGGTACCCCTCGTTCCATTATGTTCTAGTTAGTTTAGGAGAACCTAGTGTCATACTAATCCAGTGCCAAACAATCATTCTATGGTGATTCATTGTAATGGGTCGTTCATTAACGACTTCCAGTCGGCGACTTATGGTGTTGTTGTCGTTAACCACCATGGATAAGTGTGAGATGGACGAGTTGATACTCTACTTTGTTCTATCCCAATTGAAGCTTAAATGAAGACTCTTTTGGAAGGTCTCAAATATAATTAGCACAAGAATATAAATGTGAATCTGTGGTTTTTCAAATCTCATAATGGATATCATCGAATTAAGATCAAGACTGTGTCGAGCAAGTTTAATGTTATAGAGCTGATTGGATCGTTCGTTCTCTGATTAGATATTCTCTGCTATATAAATGGATCAGTATTCTGTTCTTCTCTAAAAAAAATTGTAATATGATTTCGTTGATGGAATACAAGTTGGTATTACTGTAAAAAATAAAACGGTTTGCTTCTTTTCAGGGTCATATGGCAGGCAAAGCATAGGGGCGGCAGCAGCTAAGTTTAATATTACAGTAGTTGTTTAATTTAATCACATGGATTATTAATGGACGGCACAGAATTTGCCTGCAGGCTGCACCATGGTTTAGTAATGGTACATGAAGGAAGAAGGCATTTCCTTCTCTATTGCATTCACATCTATCTTTGATCAACTTGGAGCTATAAATTCGAATGAGCGAGGAACCGAAAATATGAAGATCATTGAATCATGATAGTAGGGATGGCAATGGGTCGGGTCGGGGACGGATAGTGCATATCCGTTATCCTACCCAAAGTAGTTCGGGTTTTACCCATACCCATACCCACATAAGAAATGGGTAGAAAATCAAAACCATGCCCATACCCGTTCGGGTTTCGGGTATCCACGGTTATTCATGGGTAATAGTTTCTCTTTATAACTTCAACCAATATTGTTATTATTCACATGTATTCTCACATTACCTAAGACAAAAAGTATGACAATAATTCACTAGAATGAAGAAAATTCATTAAAACAACACAATTTCATGAACAAGATTATATTTATATGCTAAATATAAAATATATTAGAGAGAAATAATGATTATTTCTAGACAAAATACATATGCATGTGTATATCGGGCGGGTTCGGGTTGGATAGTGAGAAAACCATGCCCACCCATTACCCACAATATTCGGGTTCGGGTTTTACCCGTACCCGCTAAAAGTCCTTCGGGTTCGGGTTTTACCCTACCCGAGAAGGTCGGATTCGGGCGGATATCCACGGTTACAGATATTTTTTCCATCCCTACATGATAGCTGAATCGGAGGCAGAGGTAGTGATTAATAACTGTACAATTTTCATATTTTATGCAAGTTTTTATACGCAATTTTATACGCAGTTTTTATTAACAGCATCGTTGAACTTCACAAAACTGAAAAGTGCAGATTAGGTCGACCTAATCTTATATAAGATCGACCTAAAAATGCAAGTTACGGTGACATGCATGTTACCATAGGCAAAGTCCTAATTTGTAATAAAACCAAATATTAGAAGCAAAACTTTGTACAGTACCTGGAGAAGAAAAGCATTTTTCGTGCCACAGTTTCCAGTCATTTTCCTCTTACCAAACAAAGAAATCTCTCTCTCTCTCTCTCGTTTTTGTATTTTCTTTCAGTAGCTAGTAAGAAGGGACGGCTATCAAAGGTAGGTGGAAGAAAAGGAGGGAAACCTAAAAATGGAATGTTTCTAAGGTACTCTTTTTCATTTTTTAAAAACCCCCCAAAAAATATAATAATTAAGAAGAAGAAATTCAAAATGAAAATAGATGAAGAAAATGGAAATTAAACAGTTGCTTCGAAAATAAGAGAAAGGTGGCCATGAGATGAGTTCTTGTTTGACCCGTATTTTCAGCCTAATCTTTCGCGCTCCTTGCCTATGTAATGTAATGCAAATAATATGCAACAATGAATTCATCCCAGCTGCTTCCTTCCTTCCACCTGCCATTTGCACACCCACAGACACACAGTATTTGCCTCTTCTTTCTTCTCTTCATTTAATTGCTCTACCTAGCTAGTAACCCTCATACTATATATTATAGCATCCTCATCTTAATTAATATATTGCCAAGGACACTATAAATACTTCGAATCTATCGCTACCTTGTAGAAAGTTTTTACGAATCCACACTATTCAACACGTTCTGTTGACCATCCAAATGATTTTGTAGATGTATAAAAAAGAGTGAATGTTGGAGAGAGAAAAAAAGGTTTCGCATTTTATTTCGTGAGAGGAAACACTATTGTTTTGTCTATTTTGACATAAACAATATTTCATCATGTTTACTACTATGGTAAGAAATTGTCTAATGACTATTGGATTAACATTGTCTTACTACAATAGTGAGACGTTGTATAAATTAGAGCATGGAATTACTTTTGTTTCATAAAATATCAAGATATACTTTGTTTTGCATAATGGAGCTGATTTTCTCCCTCTAAGGTACAGGCCCATCTGAGGAATTCAGATTGCCGTAAACGGGCTTGGAGCTAGCGATGTTATTAAATCTTAGTTGAATCAAGACCAAGTCCAATAGCTTAAGCTGCACTAATTTGCAAGATGCAAGCAGTGGAAAGCCCAATCCAGTTGCTAGTCAAATCACACTCGGCCATTCCAGCTAGGGGTGTTCAAATGGTTACCGTGGTTATTACCAAACCAAATAAGGCTAAATTTCATTAACCATGGACTAAAATATCATAACCAAACCGTCCAAATTAATACAACAACCAAATTAACTAAATTAAAGTTTAATCGGTTTGGTTAGCCAGATTAACCAATATAAAATCACATTATCATTAAATATGAAAATTTTGGTTAATTTATCAATTCACAATTTATATAATGAATAAAAAATAACAATCAACACATAGTTATAGTTGACTCTTAACAAAAATACAAGCAACTAAGACAATTATCTTACGGTTAGTATAGAAGTATTCATCTAACAAAAATTTATCACAATGGTATGGGTTAACGAATTTGTGTTTGTTTGAATTGAATTAGTCTTTTAGCAATTTTCATAGGCTGAAAAGGACCTTGCTTTCAAGTTTTCATCCAACATAATGTATGAGGTTTATCTAAATTAGACGTTCATATGTTGTGGTCTACACTCTACATATACAAATATACATTATAGGAACAATATCAAGCTTTATATTTTATGAGTCTAAAAGGGATGAACGTTCAACTCTTGAGTGGTTATTCAAAGTATTAAGTATGTGTATATATTAGATATATGACTATTTATTTATCTGGTTAATTTGGTTTGGCTGGTTAGGAGTGTCTGAAACTAAACCAAACCACCTAAACCAAACAAGCTAAAAACTTTAACCAAACTAAACCAATTATCCAAATTAACCAAACCAAATTATCCAAATAGTACTGGTTAAAACGGTTACCATGGTAACCACACCGTTTGAACACCCCTAATTCCAGCTCCAGGCAGGCAGAGATATGAGATTTGATTTGGCCACAACGAATTCAGTACTTGAATCCGAACTACGTAACAAGTAGGGATTGCAACAAAACTCGAACCCACATGTACCCACCCGACCCAACCCGGTGAACACGAATAAACCCGAGTTGACCGGGTTTTGGGCCGGGTTTGGATTTAAACGCGCTACACTATTCACCAGGTTAGGTTTGGGTTTAGGTAAACCCGCCCCATGGGTATCCGCCCACACATATAATTACTTTCCCGGTATATTTAATATTATAAACAATATATCTTCCTTAAACAACTAATATTCTTTATATTTGTGGAGACATGTATAATTTGTTCTTTCTAATTGTTTAGAATGAAGTTGATATTATGGAGTGGAGAGTGAAGAAACTTAGTTGATGAGGAAGAAGTTTTCAATTAATCTTGTTGTTTATCTTTAATTTTGAACAATTTGTATTGA